ATTTCCACACAGCCCTTTCTTGCTTTCTTCATCGCAAGAAAGGAACTCAAGTAAAACATCTTACACTGTTTGGTTCAAAGAATTCAGAAGGGAAAAGAAAAAAATGGTTCGAAATAGTTGTTTCGATGTTCAGTTTACAACGAAAAGGGAAGAAAAGCTGAATAACAGAGGTTGTGATGATGCTTGGTTTGTTCTTTATGGCATTTTGCTGAACCAATACGTATCTTGGTGTGGCAATCTGGCATTAATCGGTAACAGCAGTCATGGCGGGTTTTTCTTCTGTCTTAAGCTGAGCCCTCATTTAATAAAAGAGCCCTAGGGGCAGGTTGGGGTATCTATATGGGATTCTTCCTAGAAGTTCTACAAAACGAAGAAAATATGTAAAGAAAGTATTTTTTTAGTACTATTAACTCTAGAACAATGTACGGAGTAGCATGTAAAGAAAGATATAGTTTGCTGCCAGGAGAGCCTCTCTTTCTAATCCTAAAACAACAGAGTTCAGTTGAAGCAATGGGTTATTGTTGTTATTGTGACCGGGAGGAAGTGGTGATGATACATGGCTAGTCATGTTAGGGCATTTTGTGGAACCAATCTGTATGAATTGGTAATTGCAGTCACTGCAGATTCTTCTCATTGTTGTAGCTCTGAGCCTCATAAGAAAAGAGCCCCAATGATGGGTTTTCCATTTCAGGTTTTTTTCTGCACCTCTAAACTAACAACCTCTCTATTTTTCTGCCCACACAGAATGTATGCATGTGTGTGTGAGAGTGGATGTGTGGAACATGGAAACCTATAAATCCCAACCACACTTCACTTTTCAACACTTTCCTAGAACTGTGTGAAAGGCAAACAATGAAGTTTTTATGGGACGGAGGGAGTATATTCTCAACTATTGGTTCTAGTACTCAAGTATTCTATGTTTGAGGCAAATGTGACATTTTGTTTTGAGAAAAAAATGCTTATGACTTGCTATTATCGTAACTCTGATGAGGCGGTCATGATACGAGGCTTACTTATTTTATGGTGTGTGAGGACCCAATCCATATCTTGGCGGGGCAACCCCAAATGTCCTAGTGGTTGCAGCCTTGGTGGCCAGGGGCTTCTCACTGCCTTGTGTAAACATGACTCCTTTGCCTCATAGTAAGAGCTTTCTTGAATTATGCATCCCAAATCTGGTTGCTTGCCCTCCCTTGGCAGCCTGGGCTTCTCACTGTAGTCAACTACCCTCATTATTATCACCGTTTGTTTGTGCATACACCCCTCCATACATTTCTAAGGCTGCATGGTATGCCTTAGGACTGGGCTAGGGGTGCATTGCGCGGCATGATCATGGTCACTTGCTAAGAATATTCGGTGCAGAGGAAGTTTCGGAGTTCGAGGGGCAGATGCTATTGCACTGATGGAAGCCCAAACTTGGATAATAGTCAATGGTTGGATGCGAGTCATTCTGGAAATAGACTATAAAGAGGTTGCAGAGTCATTATGGATTGGTCTTATTTTAATTTTTTTATTATTGATGGTAAGCATCTCCAAATTTAAAAAACCAAAAGTAAAATGAGAAATTTTTTTAATTTATTTTAATTTTTTTTATTATTGATAGTAAGCATCTCCAAACATTATGGATTAGACTCCAATCGAAAATGTTAAATGAGAAAAGTCAAGTATTTAAGTACTCTTTTTGTCCCAAAAATAGTCATAATTTGAATGATGTGTAAAATCTATCTTTTTTTTAACAAATTACACATTTTAAAATTACATAAAATATTTTATTTTATCAAAAGATCAATGAAAGAAAATTTCTAATAAAATCACATAAGATGCGATATGAATATTTTATTTTATCAAATGATCAATAAAAATATAAAAATAAATAAAAGTCATCGAGAGACGCGGAAGTAGTGTTAACAGAATAAATCTTTAGTATTAAAAGAATTAAATCTTAAGATGAAATATTTAACAGGAAAATATTTGGAAAATCCCACATGGTGTGTATACTAAGGCAAAAACGGATACTTGATGTATGTGCATGCACATACTTTGAGTGCCTTTGCGTATTTGTTTTTATTTTGGTGTACAAAAAAATGATGAGAAAGAAAATAATGAGAAAGAAACTAGTGAGATGAGAAAATAGTGAGAAAGTAGAAAGTAAAAAAATTATTGTTCAAAAGATAAGAAATGATAAGAAAATAGAGAAAAGAGAAAAATGGCAATTTTATTCAATGTTTCATTCTTCCATTTCTCATATCTGGCACCATTCTTCTCCAAATTGATTTGAGGCCTGTGTGTTTTTTATGTCTTTTTTGGATTCATTTTTGTCTTCTCGGGGCTTTTCCCTTTTTGGATGCATTGCTCGGTGCTTTTCCTTTTTCTGGCATTTGCTGTAGCATGTAAAGCATCCCCATGTTCACTCACACCAGCTGTTTCTAGCATTGTCATCTTTAGTATCCAAAGAGATAGGCGGTTCCTGGCTTTTTGAGAATGACTTTTTCTTCATCAAATTTTACCATCTCTGTCCACTCAAACTGCAAATCAAAACAATGGCATATTATGATTCAATGTAAATTTAGTTTTGATAAAAAAATACAATGTTAGATACAAAACAGTACCCCACTCATCTCTTTTGTTTTTTTAAGTTTTACCTTTTCATTTTTGAACATTTTCTTCTCCAACAACTCTTTAGTGGTCCTCCCGTCCGCTGACCATCTCAATGCCCTTGGCCATGATGTCTTCCTTCCTTCGTCCAGTATACATTCCTTCTCTTGCATCAGTGCTGGAAATGTTTCATACGCCCATATCTGTAAAGCGAAATGGAATCCATGGAAATTGAACCTTGGTTTCTTGCTTGTATTCATAATACAACAGCATTTCCGAACATTCTCTACCAGATCTTTCCACACATCTTCTCCCCATGGATACCTATTAAACTTGGATAAATCATTGACCAAGTGGAGATACAGTCTAGGGAGTTTAATACTTGGCTGGTTACCAATTATACAGGTCCCTAACATGTATAGGAGCCCCAACTTCACTGCATTTAAAGCTTCTCTATTTTTATTTCTCTTGACTCTCTCAAATTCAATCTTCACATCTTCTCTTGTCACATTCATTTGACCATTGAAGTATCATTTACTTATGTCACTTGGTTCTGTATAATTCTCCATTTTTTCACTGCTGCTCCCAAACCTAAAACCACTCATTTCTTTGTGAATTTAATCAGTCTGCCACAAATGGAAAATGAAATTTCTTCAGAGGCGTATACTCTGTCCATCGGCTCCACATGGTTGAGTGTGAGAAGAATCAGAAGTTGGCCATTAACACATTTCAATTCTCCAATGTCTAACCAATATCCAAAGGCAGTCTCTCGAAATTCACTTAGTTCTTCTTTTGAAAGCAGTTCTTTCAACTTCTTAACCCCATTACCAACATTGCAGTATGAATTTATTTTAGCTTCAGCTTTTGTATCCAGTAGGTTCAGCTTACATAGGCGTTTATAGACCTGTCACATTAAACAAAATTCTGTTCACTTCATTTCCAAAACACAACACAAATTGCATTAGAAAGTATTTTACATTTTCTTTCAAATGCCTTAGAGGACATTAATACACCAATTTCAATGCACAGTAACATCCGCTTGACTTTATGCTTCTCATAAGCCCTCAAAATTTTATGTCCCAATAAAAAATGTCATTATATTCATTTTAAGACTTAATAGGACATTCATTCACTAGCCAAAGACACTGTCTCATCATCACAATAAAACCATGTAAACCATATAGACATTAATAGACTCTGTCCAAATCATAGCATCCCTTGGGCTTTATAATAGTCATAATCCCTCAATACTTACTTTTATATCCACAAATATCATTATATTCATTCAAATGCCTAACAGGCATTAATACGCCAACGTCACACATAGTCTCATAATTTGATCCAGGTAGACATTATCAGACATTATTCTTATTAATAGACATTAGTAGACAGTAATACGCCAACGAAACACATATTCTCATAATTTGTAATAATCCAGGTAGACATTATCAGACATTATTCTTATTAATAGACGAGTAGACAATAATACGCCAACGGAACACAGTCTCATAATTTGTAATAATTCAGGTAGACATTATCAGACATTATTCTTATTACACACAACCACAATTGAATTGTTCAAAGCACAAAAACATCTGCTGGATTTATGATTCTCTTAAGCCTTCAAAACTTATATCTCAATGAAAAAACTGTAATAATTAGACATTAATAAAACTGAGTAGGCAGTAATTAGACCAAGTAGACATTAATAGACGACATTGTAGACATGCTCAATCGAAAACTCATAACTATTGAATTCAATCAACAATAAGAGAATGCATGCCTTCAATCAATTTCATAAAGTTCAAAGTTCAATTCATGTTCATCAAATTTAAAATTATAAAATTCAGAGCTTACGAGTCTGTTAGGCATTGTCAGAAACATATCATCGGATTCCCTCGGCACAAAATCGCTGTCTTCGCTTTCACCTTTCTTAGACGCCATTGTTACCTTCATCGAACATTGATTTACTGAAGCTATTGGTATCGCTTTCCTAGATTCGTGCTCTCTCTCTCTATTTTCGCTCCTATAGATTTGCATCGAGAGAAGGTGAGCCTGGATTGTTTAATGCCCTGATTGATTAGCTCGGTTCCCTAGATTTCTTCTCGCTCGTAAATGTCTCTCGATTTTCGAAAATTGCGGCTTGCGCATTTCTCCAAATCCAGGCCAGGGTTATTTTAGTCATTCTAGTCATTAAAAAAACGTTTCCGGTACTACTGGTCCTACTTTTGGAAATTAGCATTGTTTTAGTACCATATTTGGAATTTTCCCTTATCTTAATACATAATTTTTACATGTTATACGAAGTACTCCTCATTTAGGAGTATTTAATTTATAATCAGAAAATCAACCAAAAAATTAGAACAATTTTTTTTAAGATCTTAGAATGAGAGTGCAAATATCGTTTTCATATCAATTGAGATTTTTTACATCAATCCCATTTAGATCAAAGCGATTCTGGCTTCCAAAAGATCACAAGCATTCGAATCCATCAAGAATACATTCACTACGAACATTATTTTCAGTGAGCTAATTAAGTACGTACGCGTGAACCTTATAATAATAATTCCGCCATAGCTCATTTGGATTTTCCTCTAAGCTTGACTCCCAGGATCTTCTCCATCTTCGCCAGCACCGCGTGGTTGGGCACCGCCTTCCCGTTCTCGTACTCCTGAACCACCTGAATCCGCTCGTTCATCTGCTTTGCCAGATCCGATTGCGTCATCTTCTTCTCGATCCTCGCCTTTTGAATCGCCAGCCTCACCTCCGCCGGGACTCTGTCCAGCGCGGCCGGCTCCGCCGCCTCGTCCAGCTTCCTCGCGTTCACGGCCGTCGCCGGAGCCTTCTTGTTCAATCCGGCGTCGGATTTCTTCACGGTTTGCACCTGAGCTCCCGTCCTCAGCGCCTGATTCACCGCCTTTGGGTCCCGGAGTTCCGATGCCTTCGGCTTTTGCTTCCGGAGCACCACCGGCTCCCAGTCTCGCGATATTCCGATAGACGGGCGGGTCGGCATCTTGCTTTGGACGATTGATCAACAGAGAGGACTTTAACTGCGTCGATGAAATGGATTGAGATTGAATTGGATTGGGTGAAGGAGAGGGAGACGAGAGATATATATTGCAGAGGGATGGAGGTTGGTCTGGGTTCCTCTAGAAGATTCGGGTATAATCTGAAACGGAAACGGAATTTGAGCTAATGAATGCATAGAATGTTCGAGGAGCTCTTGTTTGGCAACTATGGTCAAACATGACTTGTTCTCCAAGCCTATATGGATAAATGTTAAGGGACTGTTTGTTTCAGCCTCTTAATGGTTCAGATGTCTGAATGATTCAACACTTAATGGTTCAGACTGTTTGTTTCAGCCTCTTAATGGTTCAGATGTCTGAATGGTTAAGAGATTTGTCTCTGAATGGTTAAGTATTATACAGAGTCTGAATGGTTAAGACCTCTTATCTGAATTGATCAGACATTTGCCTCTGAATAGTTAAGCAATATACTAGCTCTTAATGGTTCAGACCTCTTACTGGTTCAGCACTTAATGGTTCAGACTTCTTACTGGTTCAACACTTACCCATTCAGAAGTTGCCAAACAGCCCCTAAATCTACTTCTATTTTACTCCGTAAAAAGGATTNCAGCCTCTTAATGGTTCAGATGTCTGAATGATTCAACACTTAATGGTTCAGACTGTTTGTTTCAGCCTCTTAATGGTTCAGATGTCTGAATGGTTAAGAGATTTGTCTCTGAATGGTTAAGTATTATACAGAGTCTGAATGGTTAAGACCTCTTATCTGAATTGATCAGACATTTGCCTCTGAATAGTTAAGCAATATACTAGCTCTTAATGGTTCAGACCTCTTACTGGTTCAGCACTTAATGGTTCAGACTTCTTACTGGTTCAACACTTACCCATTCAGAAGTTGCCAAACAGCCCCTAAATCTACTTCTATTTTACTCCGTAAAAAGGATTTTCTTTAGGGCCTTGAGACTTGAGAGGGCCTTGTTTGGCAACTATGGTCAAACATGACTTGTTTTTATTTAAATGTTACTCCGTATTTATTAATTATTAGTTAATTACACTACGGAGTATTATTTTAATTTGCATAATTAATTGTAATTTACCTTTCCCAATCTCATTATTTTATTTAATTACTTTCCATTGAAAAAAACTTGTCAACTTTGAAGCAAAGGAGTTTGGAAAATTTTGAAAATATGGAAAAACAAGGAAAATTGAAAAAAAAACCAGAGAGAGTATAAAATGTTTGAAAAAGTTAAATTGTTGAATAAATGTTATATTATTGAAAAAAAATAGTAAGAGTTTTTCCTCATTGTTTGAGTCTTTGAGAGATTTTATCATATAATAGAAATTTATTGTATTTGTAACAATCTACTCTTGTGAAAGTAATTGTAACGTTGTGATTAATTTTTACTTTTTATAAGGGATTTCTATGTATTTTTGATGTTGAGATTACACCAAGTTGTAGCTTTCCTAACGGTTTTTGAAACTAAACGTTAGGTGGATGAAATTCGAGTCTTGTAAAATCAAGGCTTCGATTGTAAAATAAGAGGCTTGTGAAAACAAGTTTTTGAGTTGTACTCGAATTGTCAAGTTCCGTTAAGTTTGATGAGTTGGTAGTGAAGGCTCAGACACGTTTGCTTCGAGGACTTGATGTAGCCATTAGGCCGAATTAGTATATATCATGTGTTTATTTCTTTTATCTTTCACTTTATTTTGTTTGTCGTGTGCTCACTTTAATAGATAAATTTGTCAAGAATGTTTTATGCAAAAATATTTGTCATTTTGAACAACACCTCTATTATACTCCCTTCTAAAAGTATATGTGGTGTCTAACAGTGTAAAAAATTCATTTTGTAACTATACATTTTTGATGTACTCTTTAATACGTAATTTTCTTACAAAAACACTTCTCCTTATTTCAACAAGATTTTGCGCATTCTAGATGATGTCGTTCAAAAAAGAAAAAGGAGGTCCCCGTACATGCTTTGCCGCTCTGACTCCGCCAGTCACCTACCATGCGTTACCTCCTTGCCGCTTTCCGCCGTAACCCCCTGCGTCACAAGTGTATAACACATCCAATCCACTGCACTCCTATCGCGTACTACCGGCCGCAGAAACCCCTACCGGCTCCATCGCCACCATCTCCGCCGAAACCCCCCAAAAAGCCGGCGAATTTCACCCTCCACGGCGAGTCATGGGAGGACCCATATAATTGGATGTCCCAACTCAACGACAAGGTTGCGATGCGTCACATGGATGTTTACATGGAGCAAGAGGAGAAGTACACTGAAGCAGTCATGTCTGACACCGAACGCCTTCAGTCCAAGCTTCAGTCGGAAATGGCTTCTCGTATGGCGAATGATCTTTCAACCCCTCCACTTCGGTGGGGCCCTTGGTAAATGCTTCAGTTCTTCACAATTTCAAATTGCCTAATATCTACTCATTAGCTCCTGATTTAGTTGTTCACCCTATGTTTGTTGGGCTTACTGAATTGGATTGAATGTCTACTTACCAAATTTTGCAAACTAGATTTTGTAAATAGCCTGTAGAGAGCAAACTAATTTCATGTTTTTTTTTTGTGTGTCATTAAACATTCAATGGTACATTTTGGGGAGTAGACTACTAAATGAGGAGGAATGAGTATTGCTTCCCGAGGCAATTCAAAGTGAAGTTTTGCTTCAATGTTACATTTGATATTTTAGAGAAACTAGAAGCTTGAGAGTTGAACAAAGCGTACCACTTCAATGGTCAACTTCATAAATCATTAGGCTGCTTGGAATTTCGAATTGCAAGTGCGTTTCTTTACTTTATGGAGGTGGAATTTGGTCTGCGCAGGTTGTACTATAGGCGTGTAGAAGAGGGGAAACAATATCCAGTTCTGTGCAGGAGGTTAGCTAGCACAAATGCAGAGTTCATATCTCATGTATCTCCCTCATCCGGGTTTGATTTTACTTCTGGAAAGAGAATTGAGCAAAAACTGCTCGATTACAACCAAGAAGCTGAAAGATTTGGAGGTGTTGTGAGTCCCCACCCCAAGTGCTTCCTTCACTCAAGCATGTTCTGGTTTATGATTTAACTATTTGATTACAGGTTATGCATATGAAGAATTATCTGAAATATCCCCCGATCACCGATATCTTGCATACACTATGTACGATAAAGAAAATGATCTATTTAAATTATCTGTAAGGGACTTGAATTTGGGCTCTCTGTGTAATAAGCCTCAAGCTGATCATGTAACAAGTTTAGCTTGGGCAATGAATGGACAAGCTTTACTCTATGTTGTTACTGATCATCAGAAGCCTTACAGGTAAGAAATTTTCGCTATTGACAAGTTCCTGCTTCCATATATGTTTGATGTCCTACAATGTTTTTATTAGTTTTTATGTATTTTAGGTTATATTGTAGTATGCTTGGTACAGGCAAAGATGTGTTGCTTTTCGAAGAGCCTAGTACTAGTGTAAATATGCTCATAAGACATACAAAGGACTTTCTCTTTGTCACAGTAAACGTGCTTGCAAGCACATCTTCCAAGGTAATAATATCATGGCAAAAGTTTTGATATTCTATTGCCTATTGTTGGAACAAACTTTATCCCAATGACTCTTCTTAGGTCTTTCTGATAGATGGCTCTGAACCTTTATCGGGCCTTAAGCTGGTTTGGGAAAGTGAAGGGCTAGCCAATTGCATAGTTGAACATCATCATGGTTATCTTTACATGTTTACAAATGCTGCAAAAAATGGCAAACCTGTTGATTCTTACTATCTTTTACGCGCTCCAGTCAAGTATCCACTAGATCAAAAAACATGGGAGGTCAGTTTTCGGCAGGAAGCCTTTTGTCACTCTTTGGTTTTTGGTGTATGCAGTAAATGTATAAAATGCGTAAATTTGAGCATGTACTTGTAGGGTGGGCCTAGCAAGATTGTTAGGCTCTCTCGGTGATGTGGCAGAGGTCTATGGTTAGAATCCACTCCCTTGCATAGGGCATGGGGAATTTAGCCTAGATTATTCCCGCCCACACCAACCCATCTTCATATACCCTCCCCATTAGCATTGGAGTATCGGCACTTAGCATCCCTTTTTTGTCTTCATCATTGTGATAGTTATGATCATTCATCTTTTCTCATGATGCAGAATGTTTTGGTTGATGCCTCGGAGGTAATTGAAGATGTTGACTTCAGCAGCACGCATATGGTGCTTGTAGTGCGAGAGGGACGAACGTATAAACTTTGTTCTGTTCCTCTGCCTCTGCCGAGTGGCAAGGTAAACTAATCGGCATCAGCATTTTTTCCTATCTGTTATTTTGTTTATGATACTAAATTGTTCTCTCTTAAACTCTCTATTGGCAGCTAGGGGTTCGACTCCAAGAACTTAATCCACAGATTTTGCCTCTCCCGGGAAATGTATGCCAAATTTTACCGGGACCAAATTATGACTTTTGTTCATCTACAATGCGATTCACAATTTTATCTCCTGTGGTATGTCTCATCTGCTTTTCATATTCATGATATTATTATAAATAATCCCTCCATCCCAAAATAAAGTTCTTGTTGTGGTTTATGAAATTATTTTCAACTCAATCTGTTTAGAACTTGGTGTAGAATTCAAAATAAAATAATTTATATTTTTTTAAGAACTACGGAATACATAAAAAAATTCTATAAAACAAGAGGGGACTAGGTTTTATAATTGAATCAAATGATTAGTTAAATTTGGCAAAGGGGTTAAAGTTTGACTCCGCAAATAGTTAATAGGAACTTTTTTTGGGATGGATGGAGTAAGAGCCTATTCTCTTCAACTTATTCTTATTACTTATTGCTTATTCAGTTATTCTTATTGGAATCACACCAGACCACATGAGATCACACTACACCAGAAACAACTTTAACTTTAACTAGAATCGTAGTTCAGATTAGATGAGACCTTAATAAATTGAGATTAGATGAAGAGAACACGCCCTGAGTAAATTAAATTTTGCAAAATTGCACCTAATAATTCTATCTTTGGCCAGTATGCACAAAATAATCTCATCTTTTGACACTGCAAACAAATGCTACCATTTTCAGTAGTTGCATATCGTAGGCTGGTGTTAACCCAAATGGGAAAACTAATGGAATACTGATGTGAAAATAATATTTATGTTTGTATAGAGCAAACTAATCTCATCTTTCGTCGGGTTGTGTATAATAATCCCACCCTTTAAAGTGATTTCACATATCGGACCAACAGTAACTTTGTTACTAAGAGTTAACGGAAAACTGACATGATAATGTTTCTTTTTTAAAACTATTGACGTGAATTTTTCATGGGCATTGGCTATGTAAGTGTATGTACACTTTTGTTACATTATTTGGAACCATTACATTACACCAATGAGCTTGATATTTTAAACCATTTCCTATGAATGAAGTTCAGTACTTTTGATTTAAGTACAGATTTTTTTTCTTAGTTCAATTTGTCGCACTTGATAGTTAAACTAAAAAAATATAAAATGTGTGATTTTCACTAATTATAAGAAATCTTTGTTAGTAATCTTAGTATTTGAACATGGAGAGATTAATTAAAATCATTTAAACTAGATGAAATAAATTTTAACTTTTTAGTGTCTTATGTATCGCGTATTTATTTGGACTTACTCATCCAATATTTTTTAAAAAATAAAATTATGTATTGACCTTAACATATTGGTGCTGAAATGAATTAAAAAGAGTTGAACAGAATTATAATAAAAATTAATTTTAAAAGAATATGCTGTTACATGCACTATAATAATGTTACCCATGAGACAGATATAACTATAATTTAAAACAAAAAATATTATCATGGCAGTCTTTCGTTAACGAAACAAACATTGATATGATGGTTAGATTATTATGCACAAAGCAACAAAAGGTGGGATTTTTTTCTCAAAATAAACAAAAAATTGTTCCCACCTTAGCATTCATCTAGTTCTTCTGTTGTTGGCTCAACATCAGCCTACATTATGCAACTACTAGAAAAGGTGGGATTATTTTCCACAAAGTCAAAAGGTGAGATTATTTTGTGCAGACCAGCCAAAGGTGTGAATTACACTAGCCTTTAAAATTATAGAAAATTACAAAAAGAGAAATCACGGGATTGCTAGATTTACTTCTCATGACAGAAAACATTATGCATTTATGGCCTTATGCATAACCATTTTACCACCTAATCCTTTTCTATCTAAAAAGCTTATTGTAATCCCTGACAGAAAGGCACACTCCTCCTGGTTATACCAATAATTGAAGAATAATATAACTTAAAATGAAAATGATAGAGAACCATACAATACCACAAAGGTTTTGTTCAAAACTTCAAATATGCTGTTCATGTTAGTTAAAATAATAAATTAGAGAAATATGCAACAGCACTATTATAAGGCTTTAATTATATATGGAAGTCATTGAGGTTCGATTAATGGAGCAAAGGACATTTTTTACGAACATAAAAAACATGCACTGACCAACATATTATTCATTGACTTATCTTTAATATCAGGTGTTTTTTTAATAGTTTGCACAAACCTCCCTGTTGTGAATTGAATTTTTGTCAAGTGTTATGAAAGAGGTCTTGGGGGCCAGACCAATCATTGGGCAGACCCGGCTTGGGTTAGAGGAGGATTGATCCGGCCAGACTGCTGCAAGATCTGATGACCTGGTTTAGATGGTTTTCACCTATTGGTGTGACGATTTTATTATGGCTATTAGGGCTATTTATGAGTTCCCATTTAAAATGTTATCTTAAAGGAGCCATAAATGATCAAATAAACCTCTGTTCTGATGTGATTTTCCAATAGAGAGTCTGTTTAGTTTTATACACCAAGTTTAGTTAAACTGAATAATTAGTTTGTGTAAGTATACATTGAACTAAACTCTATACTAGTTGTCCCTTTTTAGGATAAAAGAAAAAGTGGACATTGATATGTATGACTTAATTCAAATTTCTGGGACTAGGGAGTAATAACCGAATATATGATATTATATTTGACCTTACAAATACTATGGATCAATGTTTATGATTGTGGTCTCATATAACTTTCCCTTAAACCTTATAGACAAAAGGTGGAACGCCCACCCCGCCCCCCACACCCAGCCCGACAAAGTAGTGAGATGGTAAATCATGGTATGATCTTAGTCTTGTCCTCCGAGAGGTCATCTCGTGCCTGGGGTAGTGGGGTGCGTGAGGAGCTATCACGTTGTATAAAACTCTCACACTGCCGCGTTAGGAATGAGATCTCAGACTTAACACTCCTCCCTGAGGACCACTACCCATGCGGGCAAAAACTTTGGAGGGTAAACTTTTTTACTAGCCGGCCCACTGCATTGCGGCCTCACCACAAGAAACCCGACCTCTAGCTTGGACCTATTGATTAGTGTACACTGTTTGCCCTTACTCGTTTGGCCATAGCTTGGACCTATTGATTAGTGTACACTGCATTGCGGCCTCACTAGGACTGGAATTTTTTGAGAGCGTCGGTACTAGCGATACCTACAAGAGCCAAGTCAAACTCGCAAACCCAAAAATTGGTGAAAGTAAGTCCCTTTTGTTGGTAGGGTGAGTCGAACTCAAGACCTCCCATAAAAGTAAGTCCCTTTTGCCGGTATACCTTCATATTTGATTTTGCACCCCTACTCGGGTGCATAGTTTAAGAAAATAACGTATGTGGTGCAAAATAAAATATTGTACATAGATGTGAGTTGCAAACACCAAATTTCCCTGTTTCTAAATTGAGCACTATAATATTTAATTCTCTTTGTTTTGTTATGTTTTTTTCTCCCCGAGCAAAGGATAATTTGTCATCTACTTGCTTATTTTATTAGATGCCTGATGCTGTTGTTGATTACAACTTATCCACTGGAAGTTGGAATATAGTTCAACAACAAAACATGTTTTATGAAAGAACAAGATCACTATATGGATCAGATTCTTTTAGTGACGAGATGTCATCTACCATATGCCTCAGTAAAGTAGTTGGTGCTGAAAATCATCATCCATGGAATGATCTCTCTGAGATTTATGCATGTGAACATTATGATGTCACTTCTTATGATGGGGTAGCCGTTCCTTTGACAGTTATATATTCTCGAAGCAGGAAAAAGCAAGCACAAAATCCCGGGTTACTTCATGGACACGGGGCTTATGGTGAGATCCTGGATAAACGGTGGCGTACTGAATTGAAGAGCCTGCTTGATCGTGGTTGGGTTATCGCATATGCTGATGTCAGGTTTATTTTAAGTTTGTTTTGGTTACTCACACTTGTCTTCTTATTGTGGTCATGTTTCATGATATGCAGGTTGCTTTTATAATATCAATCTTGTAATGGAACATGACTATAACAACCACTCTGTATCTCAACTCATTCCCATTTTCGATGCTACTGGAAATATCCTAATATCATGACAGTTTTGAATTCCATCTCATTATTCCTTAGGTTGTTACCGCCTACCGGAAGGGTATCTGTAGTAAACTTCACCACTATTTCTTTTCTTTTGATGATAAGCTGCCCAAATCACATTACCCTCTCCAATCAATCCACATCCTGTTTGAACCCAAATCAGAAATATAAATCGCCACATTCAAAGCACGCCCGAAGACCAGCGGAGTTTGGTTTGATATGTCCTGCTTCATGCGCAACTCTATGGTTGCATGAATTTATTTACTGTTTTTTATTTATCAGGGGTGGAGGTGGCGGGGGTAGAAAGTGGCATGAAGACGGCAAATGCTCAAAAAAGGTTAATTCCATACATGATTATATAGCATGTGCTAAGTATCTCATAGATGCAGAAATTGTTGAAGACACAAAGCTAGCCGGTTGGGGATACAGTGCTGGAGGCCTATTGGTTGCATCCGCCATTAATTCAAACCCAAGCTTATTTCGTGCTGCCATTTTGAAGGTGTGCCTAAACTTTAGAGATTTTAGCTATCATGGAGATACTCCGTATTAAATAAACACTCTCTTGCTTGTTCTAAATTAACATTATTTTGAAGGTTCCATTTCTGGATCCGAGCAACACACTCAACTCTCCTATTTTACCGCTTACACCTGCTGATTATGAGGAGTTTGGGTACCCCGGGGACATTGAAGACTTCCGAGGAATACGAAAATATTCACCTTATGACAATATACAAAAAGATGCACATTACCCAGCTGTCTTGGTGACATCATCATTCAATACCCGGTAATAATATATCTTATTTAATGAGCTATGCTCCATGATCCTAAGGTTCACATATAAAATATGGATCTTTTCATGCTTTTCATGGGCTGACAAGCATATTTTTTCTTTTTTACAAAAGGCCCAATTCTTTCGGGTAGTGTTTGGGAATGAGCATTTCATTTCAATTCATGTATTTTAATTCCAAAATTTGAAATCTTGAATTTCAAATGACAAGGGGAAGTGCATGGATTTCAAATTAAGCTTTGTTATGAATGAGAAAAATTTGACTCAAATCCAAATTCAAAATTTTTAAGTTTCCCAAACATGGAATTTGAGCCAAGTCCGGATTTGAAATCCAAATCCATGTTCCCAAATGAACCATCATAGTGTTTATACACTAAAATCCACAAAATGAGTGTGCACACAAGGACCACATGAGAATTTGCCCTTATTTATTATGAATACGTCTAAGTACGTAATAAAATCATACATAGTATATATCCTCATCCAAATTTTTTTGAAATATCAGGTTTGGAGCATGGGAAGCAGCAAAGTGGGTTGCTCGGGTGCGTGAATACGCCATTTATGATCCTAAGCGTCCGGTGCTACTAAATTTGACGGTTGAGCTAGTTGAGGAAAACAGATATCTGCATTGCAAGGAGTTGGCATTAGAGCTGGCCTTTCTCATCAAGATGATGGAATGAAATATAAAATAAAATCAGCAGCTTCTACCACGAAATCCCATTGGAATTTCATGATGGGATTATAATCAAGTCAGCTTCCTTGATCCATCTATATTTTGTGCCCAATTTTGTATTTTCCCTGAGAACTTCTACACATGATTTGATCAAGAGGAAGCAGCTCAGAAGGCAAAATGCAGGAAGAGCGCTTGCCTTCTATATAAGCCCAAACTCCGCTGCCTATTGATGCAACATTGTGTGTGTAATTGGTATTGTACCACATAACGTTTACGATCCAAACACCTCTCATGTTTCACCATGTTTCTTAACTTTCCTGAAGTTAAAATATACATTTATTTTTGGGACATAGGGGTACTCTGCAGTTTTTATTTTCCGGATAGAACTATTGTGCGAGGAGGCCAAGTTTACGTGCAAATGAACAACATAGTGCATCTCCATCATCGGGGATGCACTATGTTCATTTGCATGTAAACTTAAACAATGTGAATACTATTCCCTAAATGTACTACCTTCCTCTTTTACCCTTAAAGTAAAAAGAAATTGTTTCGTGTTTTCATGTGTGATTATTTCGGAATTTTTTCTTGTTTTTCTTATGGAATATTTACATGTTTAATAAGGAGTATTGTATTTCTAAACATTGTTAGTTTCATTTTCTATAACTTCAATAATGAAGCTTATAAGCTAAATGTGTTACTCCTTCCCTCCAAAAGTAATGGAGTACACTTTAGGGCCCGTTTGGTGAGTTTTGGAGATATGATAATATATGAGTTATAAAATCTGGAAAAAATGATATGAGTTTTGAAATCTAAAACAAATTTGTTTGGGGAGATTTAAAATTATGATTTAATTAGTGATAAGTGGGGGTGACCGACAATGAGGGTGGTTGGTGGTGGCAATGATACTCTGTGACGGGGAATGGTTAACGGTTGAAAGAAATATCAAAGTCCCATATTGATATCTCCCAAATTTGGGAGACATCGAAAATCTCAATTTGAAGAATTTATAGTGTCTGGTTTATTTTACCAAACAAGAAAAAAAATTCTGATATCTGAGATCCATATCTTTAATACGGAGTATTATTTTGCCTAGTTTATTAATGTATAAAAAATTCACTCCTCACTCGGTGCTTTCTAAAGAGAAATCGTCACAATCTCATTTGTTTGGAAAGGCTTCAGCGAGCCCAAACCAGTAAAAGACCAAACCCGCTAATAGTTCAGCCCAATAAATCCTTGCCACACATTAGTCGTCTGCTGATCCAACGGCTAAGAACAGTCCGTCCGTATTCTCATTTCTCTGTCACCGAACGATTCTCTTCTCGCTCAGTACGGATTCCCATCCCTCCCGAGTTCCCGCGCCAAGTGTGGCAGCCACTGGAATGAGAGCTTTCCCGCCAACATTACCACTTCAATTGATTCTCCTCCTCATCTTCTCGCTGCGGCGAATCGACGCGCTTCCGCATTGGTGGCAATAATGAAGCGTCAAGCATCGATACTCTCCTTTCTGAAGAAACCCTCGCCGGGGGACCAACGATCCGGCGGAGCTCCATCCGGCGGCCACCAAGCTGCTCCGCTTCAGCGCAATAAAACTGCTCCCCCGCCTACTAAGCTTGAGGCACCTCCGACCAACTTAGACTTCACTGAAGAGATCCGGAGCATAGAGACTCCTCCGGAGAAAGTACCGCGCCAGATATTCCCGACGAACGACGACGATGTGGGAACTAAGCCTTCGATTTTTGCGAGTATTAAGCACAAGTTCGTCAAATTTGATGGCGGACTAAAATCGTCTGACAGGTCTTTTTTTCACTATTTTGTCCGAAGCAGCATTTAGTTTTTAGTTAAATATTGCGCTGGGATAATGTATTTTGCAAAGTACAACAATTTTAAGCATAACGTTAAATAAGATTAACTGATCAAGGATTTATTTGTATATATTGCTGTAATTTTAGTTCTATATATTCTAAAACAGCTTAGACAAAAGAGTAACTTTCAATTCAAGTTGGACAATTATCATTTCACTTTGATGCTTCATGCCTCTCTTATATTTGACGAGATATAAGGCTTTAATTGTAGTACTGGTAGGTTTTGAACACATAAATATAGTAATATATCTGCTATATGTTAAACAATGTATTTGAAATGTTGTTTAAGACTTTATGTGAGCTCAAATTGATCTTAATCAAAACATCTGGGGCAATGAATAGGAGCCTACGAAATGGCGGTTCATTAAAGATGTCTTCTGTTTCTTGTGGAAGCGAAAGGTCAGATGTACATGTTGATGCGTCTTTGGGTAAACTCTTAACAAAGGAAAATGCTGAAGGTTTCAAAAAAACAGTCATGCAAGGGGACAATAGGAACTCCTTTGTTATTGAGACCAATGATGATGTTCTTGAACCTGAAACACCAGACAAACGTCCTTTGGTTCCTCGATTTAAGCGAGTTCATGATGATGCTTTCAGTCTTCCGGACAAGGGTGAATGTTTTGCCTTGAATATGAACAAGAGGGTTAGAACCCAAAAGGATTTTGTTGGTGTTTGTAAGAGCCTTAATATGGAATCTGAAGTGACTAGCAAGTTTGAATGGCTTCATCCTTCTCAAATTAGAGATGCTAATAGTAGAAGACCAAGTGATCCTTTATTTGACAAAACAACGCTTTATATTCCCCCGGATGCTTTGAGAAAAATGTCGGCTACTCAGAAACAGTATTGGGAGGTCAAATGCCGATATATGGATGTGGTGCTTTTCTTTAAAGTGGTCAGTTGTTTATCTACTTCTATGACTCCAACTCTTTGAGGTGTCTAGCTAAATGTGACATTTCAGTTGCATATCTATTGTGAATTTCTTTTCACCTACTGATGTTTGAAGGTTTCAGTTTTGTGATTTAGTATGCACTTTTGCAGTCTAAATTATAGACATCTAGCTCACTGCATGTGTTTCTAGAAAAATTGAATTAAGCTTTTTGTGCTTCTTTGATATACTGTCATCCTTGGCTTGAATTGGTTTGCATGCCAGCTTTATGCTAATACATATTTGAGAAAGTTGGACTTGATATTTAAAAAAACATTTTTTTCTCATAGACCATCACCATCTTTTTTTTGTGTTGTATGATTTAGATGCTCTGTAATTTCTATCATATTTTTGGGCAGACCTTGATTTTGGTTTATATCTTTAATCTTTCTCAGAATATTCTCTTCTCTTTGTCTACATATCTTAATTTGAAAAATGATAAAAGCTCAACATTCGAACATCTCAGGGAAAGTTTTATGAGCTTTATGAACTGGATGCTGATATTGGCCACAAGGAGCTCGATTGGAAGATAACCTTGAGTGGTGTAGGAAAATGTAGACAGGTATTTTCATTCCCATGAATGGAATTCTTTGGTATACATTTCTATATGATTGATGAATGTGAGGTTAATTTTCTTTTGGAAACAACGCCGTGAAACATTATTTGACTTTCAGTTCACTTTTGTCAGGTTGGCATACCAGAAGGTGGGATTGATGATGCTGTCCAGAAGTTGCTAGCTCTAGGGTAGGACAACTATTTCAAAATTTCACATTGTTATCTAATAAGCAGTGCCCCAGATGTGAAAATATTTTTACATTAGGAAACAACTTTTCTTCAGCTCTCACTTGTTTGAGTGTATGACTTCTTTTCATATAATTTTAACAGCAACTTAAGAACGTTCCAGTTAAACATCTTACTCTCTGCCTAGTAATCTTTTCATAATTTATTTTAAGGTACAAAGTCGGGCGAATGGAACAGCTAGAAACCTCGGAGCAGGCCAAATTTCGGGGTTCTACTTCTGTAAGTGCAGCATTAGATATTTTAATTTGCATTTTAATATTCTTACTGTTGTAGTTTTCATAATAATAATAGTAAGAGTCATAGTAATAATAATAATAATAATAATAATAATAATAATAATAACAATAATAATAATAATTATAGTAGTAGTAATGTTGGATCTTTACTTCTTTGTCCTCTACTTGTGTATTACAAAAAATAAAAGAAAAAGCAAATTTTCTGCATTTCTCATTTCCCAAGCCCAGCCCCAGAATAGCAGATACTCATGTTGTTTGTCATTGAGATGAAACCTTGGAAAATATTTTTATTTTACAATGTATTTCTTGCAGGTTATTCAAAGGAAACTTGTTAATGTACTTACACCTGCCACTACAAGTGAGGGTAACATTGGGCATGATGCTGTTCATCTTCTTTCCATAATGGAGGTCTCTACTTAGCTTTCTATGTTTTATAAAGTTGTATTCTCCTCCTTGTAGCTCTACCAAAGAAGAAAATGTTTTTATGCTCATTGGGCCTTGTATAATTAACTACCATGCCTTTTGACACCATAACAACAACCCACTATATTCCCAACTTGTAGAGAAAGGCTGTTTCTTTAGACCCTTGATGCATTACTACATTTACTACCCGAAACATCATTAAAAGTAAGAAGCAAAAGAAGTTTAATGTGCCATTTTTTACTCCATTATTTATCCAAAGGCCAAAGCTAAAACCTTTTCAATTACGACTCTTTTAGCGCCTTTGGCAATGGACATACTTTATGACACCATACTGTTTTTATATCTCAAGGAGAATAGGTTCAGAATGTGATATTGAAAAGTGTTTGCTGTTTGACAAAGTTGTATACTTATGAATTTTATATTATGTACTCCGTACATGTTATTTATGCACTAGACACAGCACCACACCACCACAATAATGTATTGCTTTATAATCATTTTGCTGTTTTCATATAGGGCCGTTTGGGTTCCGAGAATGGTTCCACTTCATTTGGATTTGCTTTTGTTGACTGTGCTGCATTGAAAATTTGGGTTGGTTCAATCAGTGATGATGCATCATGTGCAGCTTTGGCGGCTTTACTAATGCAGGTATAGTATTAACTTGTTTGTCTTAAATTCTTCTAGGTAGTGTTTGGGAACTAGCATTTCATTTCAATTCATGCATTTCAATTCCAAAATTTGAATTCTTGAATTTCAAATGACAAGGGGATGTATATGGATTTCAATTTGAGCTTTGTTATGAATTAGAAGAATTTGACTCAAATCCAAATCCAAATCCAAATCTTTTAAGTTTCTCAAACATGGAATTTGAGTCAAATCCGGATTTGAAATCCAAATCCAAGTTCCCAAACATACCACTAAGTAATTCAATTTGAACATTCACACTTTAATATGATTAAGCTTTTCTTTCTATTGTCAGATATCTCCCAAAGAAGTTATATATGAATCTCACGGTAAAGCTTGTGTTGCTCTTCTTGTGGTTGCTATTGCTGTTGTCATCATCATCGTAAACTAAGTATTGTGGGTAATTGTTTCTGAATCCATTTCTCCCACAGGACTCTCAAAAGAAGCTCATAAAGCTTTGAAGACATACTCATTATCAGGTATTATTTTCCTTCATAAAATAAATGTTGTGACAAAAAATGCCATGTGACACCTTTTCTTTGTTTGATACTTTGATTTTTGGGATGGGGTGTTTACTTTTTATTTTTTCATTTTTATTTGTATTTGGGCAGGTATAATCCTTGCTGATGCATTGCTAGGTCAAAATATTGGAAAATTTGATGTAGTATTTCAGGAGCGATAGGATCAGGAAATAGTGTGAAATAGACTAGAAATTGAAAATGAAATATTCAAAATTCAAAGCTCTGTTTGCTTCCATCGTTGGCGTGTTACTAGGCACGTTGTTTCGATTTTCAACTTTGTGCTGTCATGGGCTTTCTTGACACACCACATTGTAATGCATCAATTTTAGTTTTGGATTAGTTTGCTGAAAAAGTACTTGTGTGAATATGGGATACCAATTACTCCCTCCGTCCTATAATAAGGATCTACATTTGACCTGCCACGGTTATTAAATAATTGAGATTGTGTTACTGCGGTTTATGTAGAGAAGAAAGAAATAATATGAGCCACCCAATTCCTTCCATAAAGGGAAAGTGTAGCCTTATATTGGAATAGGCTAAAAAAGAAATCTTGAACCTTTTTTTCGGGACATTGGAAGTATATTTTATACATGATGTCAATTACTCATGATAAATTGTCTGCTCAACATAGACTTAATTTTTTTCTTAAAGGCACTGCTGCTCCACAACTGACTGCAATTCAACCAGAGAGTAATTCGGTGGATCCTTCTGAAGTTAGAAATCGCATTCAATTGAAAGGATACTTTGAAGGATCTTTTAATAGGTGGGATCATGTCTTTGATGGAGTAGTGCATCATGATCTTGCATTATGCGCTTTTGGTGGGCTTGTCAGTCATTTAGAGCGGCTAATGGTAATCCTTATGCTAGTGATGATGACATGCAATATTTAAAAAATTGTACGTTATTTTGTTAATGATGGGGTCCTTATTTCTTAACAGTTAGGTGATGCCTTACGTAATGGAGATATCCTTCCATATGAAGTTTATCAAGGTTTCCTTAGAATGGATGGACAAACACTTGTCAATCTTGAAATTTTCAACAATAGTGCTGATGGTGGTCCATCAGGCAAGTGCTTTTACTGTTCAGTCATACCATTGACCCACCCATTTGTCGGTACAAGTACAAATATTTTTATATGTGCTAAAAAAGCATTCTTATATGACAGGCACTCTTTACAAGTATCTTGACAACTGCATAACATCATCTGGTAAGAGGATTTTAAGGAGGTGGGTATGTCATCCACTAAAAGATATTGATACAATTAACATCAGACTTAATGTGGTTGAGCATCTTATGACATGTTCGGAAACTATTTCATCTGCTGCTCAATATCTTCGCAAGCTTCCTGATATAGAAAGGTTGCTTGGACGTGTCAAAGCCAGTATCAAGTGTCCTGCAGAACTTCTGCTGCCTACAATCGGGAAAAAAATACTGAAACAACGAGTATGTACTTTTTTCCTTTGAGACTTCCTTACAAATAAAATTGCCCATGTTTCCACACATGTCATATGCTGTAAAATATAGAAAATGCATCCTCAACTTCAGGATGCAGGCATGCAGCAATCACACATTGTGGAGGATCTCTCTCCTCTTTCACATGCACATGAATACAGCTAGAAGTTGGTGTCATTTTAATTTTTTTTGTGTCTACATACCAATAGGTGAAAGTGTTTGGCTCACTTGTTAAAGGGATGCGGATTGGAATGGATTTCCTGATGTTATTGTGGAAGGACGAGAATCTGAGCTCTTTATTATCTAAAGTCTTCAGTCTGCCAGTTTTAGTTGGTACTGTTGGCTTGAGTAAATTCCTTGCCCAATTTGAAGCAGCCATTGACAGTGACTTCCCAAAGTACCAGGTCTGTTAAATACGGAGTGTCAGAGTAATACTTTTCTGTCACAAAGTATAAGGTCATTTTGCCTGTAGCGAGAGTTTTAATGAAAGGATGCAAAATGTAGTTCATTTTCTAAGATCGCTCCTCAATTGAGGTAAATTGTATCAAGTCATTTTAAAAAGCAAGAGAGAGAAAAGGGGGATCAGGAAACAACTAATAAGTTCAATAGTTCATTATGTTCACAATAGGTGTGGTCATTATTTTGGAATAGAGCTGAATGCAAATTATGACTTATAAAGTGAAGCATAGGGAGTATTTCTTTGGAAAAGTTTGTGCCAATAATTCCAGATTTGACCCTTTTTTCGCTAATAAATCCAAGTTCTGTACTTCCTATAATCCTTAGATGGCAACGGTCCTTACTTCACCTGTGGCAAGTTTTGAGGTGAGATTGTGTGGTGACCTGGAGCATGAGAAAGGAGAGGGAAAATGAGTGAAAGAATAAACACAATCTTATATGTCATGTCAGGCCAGCACAATTTCTTGTATGAGATATCATTTTTGGTGAAGTATGGAACGTTAACATCTACACGAGGCAAACTTAGGATTAATGATGGGAAATACAGAACTTCGAATTATTGGCATAAAATGAGCTAAACTTTGGGGTTTATTGGTATAAAATTACCTATTTCTTTTGGTTGTGGTTTGTTAGAGTATAAAAATATTTTTCTTGGGCCACAATCAAAAAGCTTGAGCTTTTGGTTGAATCGGTCCTTGACATGGTATTAGTGCCTTGTTAACCAAGAGGTTATGAGTTCGAATCTCACCGCGGCCCACCTCTCCTGCAGAAGCTTGAGTTTTTGGTTGAGTTGGTTCCTTGACATGGTTATTGTGTCAAGACATTTTTTTGCATGCTGAACCATATTTCCTTCATTGTCCAGTGACGAGCAAAGAATTAGAAATTACGAGTTCAAATACTCTTTTCACCAGATTTAATTATCCATGTATCTAGTGTGCTTTCTGATGAGTTTCAGTGATATGATCTTTCCAATGTGGTACCACCAGGATCATGAGATAGCTGAAACAGATGCTGAGACCCTATCAATCCTAATGGAGTTATTTATTGAGAAGGCTAAAGAGTGGTCACAAGTCATTAATGCCATCGGTTGTGTTGATGTGTTAAGGTCTTTCGCAATTACTGCGACATTATCTAATGGAACTATGTGTAGGCCAATGCTCTTGCCTATTTCCGAGTCGAGACACGAGGGACCTGTGCTGGAAATGAAAGGCTTGTGGCACCCTTATGCCTTAAGTGGTGATACTGGCGGAATGCCTGTCCCTAATGACCTCCAACTTGGAGGAGGGGAGACAGGTCAAAGAAACGGTCATACTTTACTCTTGACTGGGCCAAATATGGGAGGGAAGTCCACCCTTTTACGTGCCACTTGTTTAGCTGTTATAATGGCTCAGGTATTTAACTTTTTTTTGCTATGGAACTATTTAGGATATGTCATAACTTAGACACTAAGATGATGTGAGTGTATATTGTTGCAGATGGGTTGCTATGTGCCATGTGAAGCTCTTACTCTCTCTCTTGTGGACACCATCTTCACGCGTCTTGGGGCCACTGACCGAATCATGACGGGCGAAAGTAAGTTCCTTTAATGAGTGAAGCTTAGAAGTTGAACCCGGAATTATTTATCGTGATGGAAAGAAAATACGCTAAGAAAAGAAAAAAGAAATCTTATAACCCTGTCATATTTCATCATCTGCAGGCACGTTCTTTATTGAGTGTACGGAGACTGCATCGGTCCTGAAAAATGCAACCCAGAACTCACTTGTTATTCTTGATGAATTAGGCCGAGGGACGAGCACTTTTGATGGATATGCTATAGCATATGCTGTAAGATAGATGCGTCAATCATTATCATTATTTTTATTATCATTACTCTCTGATTCACATCATATAACAACAACAATAATGATAATCCAAAAAAAAATATCTTCACAGGTATTTCGTCATCTTGTAGAAACAGTGAACTGCCGCCTTCTGTTTGCCACGCACTATCACGCTTTGACAAAGGAGTTCGCCTCTCATCCTCACGTGATCTTAAACCACATGGCTTGCTCTTTCCAGACGGGCCCCGGAAACCGAGAGGAGCTGGTTTTCCTATACCGCCTGGCGAGTGGGGCCTGCCCCGAGAGCTACGGGATGCAAGTGGCCCTCATGGCAGGCATCCCGAAACACGTGGTCGACTCTGCATCCAGAGCTTCTAGAGTGATGAAGAAGAAGATGAGAGAGAGTTTCAGGTCATGCGAGCAGCGGGCCCACTTCTCCACTCTGCACGAGGAGTGGTTGAAATTTCTCTTCGCCACCTCCGGGTTGAGCGTGAGGGAGCTCGACGATGATACAATTGATACGTTGTTTTGCACGTGGTACGAGATGAGAAGCGCCGGTGGGTTGGGTTATGCTGGTGTAGAAAAGGAAAGAAAGCCCCAGCCCCAGGTTTACTGCCCCTAAGTAAACTGAAGTAGACTGAACTCTGAAGTAGTGTAGTAAATTTATAAGGTTGGGAAGAATATATGAGCCGCAAAAAACTGTTTGAGCGAGCTAAATATATTCCTGTGAAAACAAACTATTATGCTCCCTGCAGGTGTGTAATTATCAGTTTGATTCCAACTGAACGTTGTTACAGAGTACTTAATATTTTCAATTAAACTATACATCCGGATGTACGGTATTTTTCGTACATATGCATGAATATTCATTGTCGAGTAGCTAAGTACTCATTTTTGAGTAACAGAGTACTCATTTTCGAGTAGTTGAATGCTTACTTTCGAGCATAATAGAATTTTAGAGAAATGAGTTTTCAGTTACTTGAGAATGAGTATTTACTTGCTCGTAAATGAGCATTCAGTTACTCATAAATGAGCACTCGCTGTGGATGTACGGGAAACACTCTACAACTGGTTGTACGGTTAATATTATGAGATTTTAGTGGTGCTTATGAATTTATTGTTGACGAGTAATTTATAACTTATAAATGCTTATTAAAATATACTTTTTGGAAAATGACTTACTAAGAGGTGAATTATTTTACGATATTGATAAAAAGTTAGGAACCGCTTGGTAAATGGTTTGGTCAAAACTGAGAAACAAAAAAATATACTTAAAAATAGCTAAGACATATTTTTTTTGGATTTATAAGAAACTTATAAGTCAAGTTACAAAAACACAAAGATATACGTTATCAACTAACTATAAATAAAAAATAACTTATAAGTAATTTTGATCAATTTATAAACACTGAAAAACACTTATTTAATGTTTTTAGATGAAAAATGGAAATGTGACCAAATGGCTAAAATAGCTAAATTGTGTTTGAAAGAATTTAATTTGTTGAATGATCAGCAGCATAAAAAAATTACAATACTTAGTATTCTGTATAAATTATATTTATAACAACAAACTAAAGAGAATATATGTAAATGTCATTATATTCATTTTTGTTAGTAAGAAAATTCTTTCATTGCATAAACTTCATCATTTCATCCTCTAAAACCTATCACAAAATTCACTTTTTTCTTGTTAAGAAAAATTCAAAACATATAAGTGTACCCCGGCTTTAGGCAGTTTTTGGTTGATGATTTTCTGGTAAACAGAAATGTCAAGCTACCAAATGGGAACTATTAAACGGGCATACAAAATTTCAATAAACCGACAAAATGCAAATTATGTTCAAAGCCAATTTGTTCAATATCTACTTAAAATACAAAGGAAAAAAAAAGAGTCCAAGAACTGAGGTCCACGGCTCGCTAACTGTCTTCTTCTTCCACCTACAAGCTGCAAAACACAACAAAGAAGACATTTTTTTCGATTAAACGTAAATTAAGCTCGGTGCAAAAGTTACATGTATAAAAAAATAGTCCTCCCGTCCCGGGAAAAAGTTTGCACTTCGAAATCACGGAGTTTAAAATGAGTGCTAGACAGTAAAATGTGGCAGTTTGAATTCGTTTAGAAGAGTAAAATATTTTGAACATCATATTCCAGAGTTGCAGACGCTCTTATCTGAAAGCAATATTCTCGGTAAGATTCTAAAGTCGTAAGTCATATCTAATCACCGTATATGTAAAATCTAAATATATGTAAGATCTTAAAAAGCTCTAATTACATTTATAATATTTCATATTTTCCAGCGCAAAACCAAAAATAATTTTTCATGCCATTTTCTGGGTTCTAAACATAGCCTAACACATTGATATGGGGGTGACACACGCTAGACACTTCTATGAAAATTTCAACAGTTCATATAAGTTCATATAAATGCTGAAAAAATGATTACCAAGAGGATAAGTAGAATCTTTCAATAGAACGTATGTATCCATGAAAATCAATGCCTATTTTGTCATTAGAAACTAAAAATAAAATACTCACTACGAAACAAGAGAGCAAAAAAATCTAGTATAGTCCAGAAGAATGAAGGTTTTGGCAAGTTTCTTGTCATTCCTATGCAAGGCCTGGGCTAGGATTTTGATTTTCAGAACAAAGATTAATGGTTGTCATGAACAATTAACAGTAAAGACTGCAAACAAAGACTTGAGCTAAAGAACTCCAGAGCACACATAAGAGAGTGATATCCCTTCACATGGCATATATTCAATACTTAAAATAGTCCCCCTAGTTAATGGCAATAAGCAGATATGTAGAGTTACCTGCATCACCCATTGAGCTTCTCCGTTGAAACATTATCCTCCTCATCATCAGCACCATCATCATCATCATCCTCATCATCACCATCACCATCACCATCACCATCACCATCACCATCACCATCACCATCACNCATCACCCATTGAGCTTCTCCGTTGAAACATTATCCTCATCATCATCAGCACCATCATCATCATCCTCATCATCATCATCACCACCACCATCATCATCTTCCTCCTCTTCGCCCTGATTATCATCGACGTCTTCGTCGCGGTTGTCATCATCATTGTTGGCATCATCCCCGCCACTATCATCTGAATCTCTTAGATTTGCAATTTCTGCCTGGGCCCTCTCAACAATTTGCTTCTTTTGCATCTCCAACTCTCTCTGGAAATCCCACCTCATCTTTTCCAATTCCATCATTTGTTTCCTCTTTCCATTCTCAATCTTCTCATATATATCGCCAAACCTTTGAATAGACTCTGCTAACAACTTGGCAGATTCCTCATTTTCCTCCCATCCCGCCTCTTCTCCCACCTCTTCTTTCTCTTCCTCATTTTCCACGTCCGAGCCCACAGGACTATCCCTCATCTCATCCATCACATTAGACCTATCTAAGTACATTCTAGGGTCCATAAAAACATACTCCCCAGAATCAACCCCACAGCTCAACCCACAATGCCCTTTCATCCTCAAATTCATCAATACATCCATTTTCTTGAAAAACGGCCATTTGCTTGAAAACCCACCGCCCATTTTCTCCATCTTCTCCCTCTCCTTCTTGTACTTCTTCTTCAACACATCCAGCTGATTCCTGCAATCAATCTCACTCTTCTCCACCCCAATCATCTCTGTCACCTTCTCGGCCACATCAACCCAATCCTCACCCCTCAAACTCCTCCTCCCCAGCTCCAAATATCTCTCCCCCCACACATCCAACAGCACGAAACTCTCTTCCTCACTCCACTGCCCCCGCGAACTCCCTCCTCCTCGAAGTGATCCTTGTGGATTTCCAGCAGCACGAGGGGCAAACTCATAGTTTGATACTAAAGATTCCATCTTCCTTTTCTTCTTGCTCCTGAAATCGTACCCATTCTCTGCTCCGTTGAATTCTGGATCATCTCCTCCTTCATCAGACTCCTCAGTATCATCGTATTCATATTCGTTCTTGTACCGACTAAAATTGGTGTTTTTAGGAAAAGAACTAGGGTTCCTAATTTGGCGTCTTGATCGAGAAGAAAGGCTGAAGCCAGAACTGGGTTTATGCGAGTACCTTTCCTCATCTTCGGAATCGTCCATTTCTTCAGAAAATCTTCTCCCCGCCAGCTCGAATCTCTTTGTTTAAATCTATATATCTATCGACTGGATTGAATCTATGTCCTTTCAATTGAACGAAAACCGCAGAACGTAATCCTTGATTTTCAAGGGATATAGGTTAATCCGAGAAGGGCTTGAAGGAACCAACAAAATTAACAAAAAAAAAAACCCAGATGAATCAACTTACCTTCGTGCACTGAGCGGGTGAAGTTGCGTTAGAAGAAGAGGGCGGGGGAGTTGGGAACTAGAAGGAAGGCCGCAAGAGTAGCTAATTATTGGGAAGTAGTGTATTGAAAGAGTGTCATTGAACTTTTTTATTTTTGCTTCATAGAACAAAAACTAACATTAATGCATCAACAAAGGTAATACAAAGTTTACAAAGTTTAAATGGTCTCAAGGTGTGTACATTGAGTTTATATATGGATATTTTCTTTTTAAAAAAGACTTATTTCTTTTATGTTACAAATGCATTGAAGTCCATAAAATTAGCATGAATCTCAAGTCTACGAAAGAATTTACCAAAGTTTAGGGAGTAGAAACTAAAAAATTGCTGGATACTTCAAATTTTGTAGTAAGAAGCCTTAATTTTTAAAATATAGTAGGAGCTAGCTTAAAATATGAGGGAATTAACTAGGAGGTGATTTTCCATCCCTCATGCGTCAAACTCAATGGGATTATCACCTTCACTATCATCGACATCCCTCATGCGTCATCTTCATCATCATCATCTCCTTCGGTCCTCTCCTTCCAGCCCCCACCCTTCCCCTCTTTTTTTTCTTTTTTTTGTTTTTCCACTTCTATTATTATTATTATTAGTAATTTATTATTATTATTATTATTATTATTATTATTATTAATTTTATTATTATTATTATTAGTTATTAGTATTAATTTATTATTACTTGACTAAAATTATTTTTATTGTTTCGGTTTACAATAGTTGACTGAAGTTATTTTATCACAATATTTTTTGTGGGGTTAATAGTAACATGTAACTTAACTTGAGAGGGAAGGAGTAACACTAAAGCCCTCATAAAAAATTTGTATGCCTCCATTAACTTTTTTCAATCTCCATTTTTTGTAAAAGAGAGGCTAAAACATTTAAATCATTAATTTAAATTAACACTATTTTTATCGTTTCTTATTATCTTTTAAAAATGGGAGACACTTCAATTCCCCCAAATTCCATCTTATTATTGCTTTAAATCCTCTCTATTTCTGGATCCGCCACGTTAAGTGCTAACTGCGGTGTCCGGTTACCCCACGGTGACTAGTTTGGAAGACAACATTAGATGTCGTAAAATTATAGTAAAACTACTAATTATGTTTTTAATAATAATAATAATAATAATAAATTAGTGTTATTTTTATTTAAAATAAATAGAGTAGTAAAGTCATTAATTATTATTATTAATAATGATTAATAATAATAATAATAAAATAACAAACAATAATAATACTAATAATAATAGTAGGAGGATGGAAGATGTAAGAAATAATAATGGAGATTAATTCTATATTAAATTGTCTTGTTGAATACAAATAATTAATTAACCCTCTTTATATATAGAAGAGGGTAAAACAATTAAGTAAAATTGTATTCCTACTATAACAAAAATAGGAAAAATTAGGAAAATTGTCAAACCCTAAAACATATTCTAACACTCTCCCTCAAGTTGAGAATGAGGATCATGAATGAACAACTTGAACAATAAAATTAAGGCTAGAAAAAAACAACTCGATAAATAACTTAGATAAAACTTTGATTTGTTATGCCAACAACGGATGAAGGCGACTAGCCAAGCAAACGAACAATCAAAATTTGATGACGAATGACTCCCACGCGGGACGACTAACAAACGGATAAAATATTGTCAGACTGAGGTTCGACGACCGACCCCCACAAACTAACATGCAGTACATACTGCAGGTTGCGACTTAACATACCAAACAACTCAAACAACCAAATATTGTCATCAAAACGTCCATCAAAACTAGCTTGACAAAATGCTGAACATGAAAGTCCTCCTCCGTTGAGTACAAACAACAGAAAATAAAACTGACAATTTGTTGAAGACTGCTTATGTTGGGAAGTAAACACACAACACACACAAATATTTGTGAGAACCAAGAGAAAACGGAACACAAATTAAACGACACACAAGAATTTAACGTGGTTCGGTTTTTCCTAATCCACGGCTGCAACAGGAGGAATATTATTCACTTGTCGTGTCTCCGAATTACAAGTACAAGATGTGTATATATAGGAAAAACTTAGGGCTACAAAACTTGTTCCCCAAGAAACAAGCGAGCTAAAAATAAAACGGTCCAACCCAAATCAAGCCCAAAAATATCTAGCTTCCACAAACCCAACATTCTCCCGCTTGGAGACTTGATAATCATCAATCGTCAATCTGTCACGATTGCTTGTACATCTAGCTACTTGTCACCCTTTTGAAACCATACCATCCAGCCTTAGGGAGTATTATTCATTAATAATTATGGCTGATGGGGGAAGGGGGGTTGATATTATGGTTGAATACATAGAGTTATATCCATCGATCATTGCTCCACTAACTCTTAATTAGTGACGGGCATAAAGATAGATCGAGATTGATTGGGATTGAGATGAAAAAGAAGAGATCGATGTGGTCCACAAAATACATTTGAGTTAAATTAGCGGGTTTAACTCAAATTCTATCAAGTAGATTATCATAGTTGAATTAACGGGGTTAACTCAAATGTATCTCAAGTAGATTAACATAAGTAACCCGTATGCTGTTTTTTTTTGTGTGAATTTATATACTCTGTCTGTGTTAAAAAGATTTACACTTTTTACTATTCAAAAGTTATGGAAATTTTTATTTGTGCGTTTTAAATGATTATTTGATAAAATAAAATATGCTTATCACTCCTTAATTTGTAGAACTTTTAACGTATTTTTTAAATATGTAAATTTTATTGTTTGGATGACAAAAAAATGTTTATAAAAAGTGCAGAGTAAATAAGAAAAAAAAAAGAATAGATATCTTGTCGTGCCATATTTTTCCCACCATTTTCTTTACCTTTCATCCTTTTTTTCCTCTATCCAAACGAGAGAAAATATCTCAAGTTCTTGTGTTCTCCTATCCCAATATCTTTCATTCTTTCTCCCTATTTTCTCTTTAACCAGATGCAAGCAAATGGTCAAACTATTGTATTCGAAATTGTGAAAAATCAAACGAGAAATATTTTTTTTTAGAGAGAGTGGGTAAATATTTATCACAACAGTGTGAAAATGCTTATGTAGCTATTAATAATGTTGATGAATTCTTAACTGGATCTTAGGTACACTAAAAACATACCAAAAATCATACACTTGGTATTAAGTAAAGAGTCAATGGATCACGTAAGTGCATGGGTGAGTTATTTTGTTAAACCTGAATAGAGTCGACTTCTTTAAAGGGGAACTCCTCAACCAGATTAAGATTTGCATTTACTATTTCTTTATTACTACTAGCTACTAGCTACCCAGCAGTACTTTAACTTATGAGTAGTTGGTAAACTCAACTTAATTACATGTAACGGAAAGACCACTTCGCCTAATTACACTATAAAACAAAAACCAGCACCATATAGTTTCAGAAACATATGGTGCATGTGAAAATGGCAAAGAAAACCATTCGTTTGTTATCCATATTCTTCGTTCTCCTGGCCGAGCTCTGTTATGGTTTTGTTACGAAACCAGACTGTTTTGGGAAGATTGGGTTTGGACATGGAGGCACCGGCAGTATAGATGGTGGCATTAGCGACGGTGCACCTACACCTGCACCTGCACCCGCACCTGCTGAAGGCGGAGCACCACCCATTGCAGACATAATACCAGGTTTTGATAATATACCCATACCTGGTATAGGGGGTGGACCTCTTTTCCGAGGTGGCGGCATTGGTGGAGGTGGAATTGGTGCTAGAGTTTCTGGAGGGCAAATTGGTAAAGTGGACATTGGGGGTGGAAGATCCAACGGCGAGTTTAGCAAGGGGACAGGAGCATTGGAGATGGAGGAAAGAAAGGGTTAGCTCAGTGTAATAGTAGGAAGTGATGGTCCTACCAAATGTAAGAGCAATTGATATGTAAAATACCCTATTGAAACATGAAAGCATATCTATATTTGGTTGGTACATTTTCTATGTTTTGGGAATCTCAAGTGTGGGGTTTGGGTATCATTGGACTAACACAAAGTTCGCCACGACATATTGGCAAGTTTAAAAATGAAAACCGAAAAATCCCTAGGAAAAACTCATTAAATATAATAACAATTTGACTCTGATTTTACTAGATGAATGTTTGATTGGTCGGTCAAGAAACCGTTATTATATGCAAAGACTAATTGCAGCTGAAATGCAAGTGCTAGAGAAACGACTGAAAACTAGTCGAACTATTTCAGTATCAATCACCACAATTACTCGGTAACAAACACATATTTGTAAAGGGAAAATAAGTGTCTCACCTCTAAGTATGAAAAACACGGCCAGAAACAGTTTTCTCAAGCTTGCTCCTCAACTAGCTTTTATTGTGAAGGCAAATAGACCCATGCATCAGCTAGCTGATTATACGAACACAAGATTCAAGAAAACATCTTTCGCTGCAATTATCAGGAACAATCTCAGAGATATCTCCATGAAAGTTCTGGTCATTTCGTGGTGGATGTAGTCCGCAAAGATCTCTTCAATACCCGCACGTATGTGCCAAAAGATGGAGAGATTTCCCGCGAACAAGGAATAGGCATTGGGGTATACCATAACAAGTGGGGCAACTGCAGTAGCTTTTAGCAGCTGCTCTCTCTTTGTCTTTGGGCCTTCCTTCCTCAATCCACTGTCTCGAACCACCCTGTACATAGATCATGCCAAGCAATGATTAGGGAGAAATGGGAATTAATCAAACCACATTTACGGCAAGTCGGTTTCTAATTTTGTTCACGGGAAACTCGATGGAATTCACATGTGCCTTCAATTTCCAAAAAAATCAATAATTAAGACCAGTCTAATGCTCCGTATTGCATAAATTGACAAAAAAACTAGACTACCAAAATATTTACTAAGCATTTCACAATAGGTGTAGGAGGATCCAAACAAAAAGTTAGGGTGAGGAAAGAAAATTATGCTCCATAGCTTATACGAATATCTTTGAAAAGAAAACCAGCAACAGAATTGTTATCAAAGAATAAATTAGATTTCTTTGTAAATTGGACATTTCTATAGCATGGCTATCTAATCAATTCCTGACTTAAGACACTATTCTTCAGCCATTGGAATGAAAACATTACACAGCTTCCATGGGTAATATCACCAACATAAGACTGACCAGAATCATACATGAAAGGCATCAATATCCTCCAAGGCTCCAACCCA